TTTTTTTTCCTTCCCCTCTCCACCTTCATTTTCACTTTTCACCTCCTTCACAACTTTTGCTATTTTCTTTTTGGCACATTTTGAGAAAATATTTGGTTGACATTAATTTATTTGTCTTTTATAAAGAACTCGGTTTTCTATTTTCTGTCAGTGTTCGTCTCTTCATACATTTATCTATGTAGACGTGTGTCTGGTAATGTCGGCTATTTTATTCTTTTGTGTGTGTGTGTGTGTGTGTGTGTGTGTGTGTGTGTGTGTGTGTGTGTGTGTGTGTGTGTGTATGCGTCCGCTATTTATGTATTTTTGTCTATGCGAACATTTGATCCTGGATACCGAACTGGCCGGCGTATACACGTGTGCATTAGAGAATTTCACTCACTTTGCCTTTTTTTGTCCACTTATAGTTTTCATAGACTTATGGTTTCCCTTTGACTTTTTCCATTCTTTTCTTTATTTCAGACATTTTTTTTTCTTTCTTACCTCTGGCCGCTTGTCTAACTCTTTTTCATGAATTTTTATCGATTTTCTACTATTATACACTTTTTTGTTTTTTCTTATTACATTCGCAAAAAAGTAACATCAGTGTCCACCATTTTTCTTCCTACTTCGAATCGTTTGTTTTTCTTTTTCTATCGTTCTCTCTCTCTCGTGTTGATTTTTTTTTTTTAAACTCTCATTCTGTTAAATATATCATCCTACTCTGCCCTTTCGACGAGGCCTAAATCACGCGGATTGTAGATGATTAAGAAATTCCCTAAATTATTCTGGAGGCATACTTTTTTGTATTAACCGATTTCAAGGCAGCAAAGCCACTAAGACACGTGATAAAACATAACGTTTGAAAACCGAGTAAAATCGACTCGATCCTCATCTCTCGAATTCGTTGCGCGTACACTGCTAACCGCTTCCCTTTGCCAAGACCCCCATTCCACCATCCATTAACACAAGCTCATCAAATATATGGCCTACTGCCTTTCCCTGTCATTCTACCTGTCAGTATGCCCTCTGAGTGTTAAATTCTCCAAGCCTTTCTTTCTCATTACATGTCAAAGAAATGTCAGCTTTTTCTTTCTTATTTTGAGTATAAGTGTCATTTTTCACCATTTTCCTTAAGACAATTTCCTTGCTTAAGCGCGCCATCCATGTTATTCTCAATATCCTTCTGTAAAGACACATTTCTTTATGAGTGAGCTGAATGCCAAGCCTTCACTGCATTATGAAAGGGCTGATATTACATAACCGTCCTACACTTTTTTCTTTTTTCTAGACTTTCTTTTTTATATTCTTTTTTTTTATTTTTGCTCATCTTTTAAATTTCGTTAACCCAATGTCTACATTCTTCATCTATGCGATGTTTTCTTTCAGGCAATGAGCAATCCACAACATCCTAACCTTTGTATCTGTCACCCCTTGCCGCTTATTTAACACTTTTTCACGAATTTTTATCGATTTTCCTTAATTACTACTCTTTTTTCCCATCTTCTTTATTACATTCGCAAAAAGGTAACGTTAGTTTCCACTATTTTTTGTCCTACTTTGAATCGTTTGTTTTTCTCTTTTTTTATCGCCTACTCTCCTCTTATTTTTTTAACTCCCATTTTGTTAAATATATCATCACACTTTGCCCTTTCGACGGGACCTTAATCACATAAATTGTAGATGATTAAGAAATTCCCTAAAATCTAGAAGCTTACTTATCGTTTTAATCGAATTAACCTCAAGCAAGGCAGTAAAGCCCCTAAGACACATTATGTGTCTTAGGGGCTTTACTGCCTTGCTTATTATAAGAGTTATAATTATTTTATTATAATTATTTTTGATGCTATAATTATTTATTTATGGGCACGACACTGGACAGAATGTGACTGAGACTAAAGCGTAATGTGGCCTCAGGGTTGCCCAAAGGAAATACATGCAGAAGTATATACGCATGATTGACATGACATTACAATTACCCCCTATATTATGTTCATCGGAGCAGCCCCTCTCTCAGCCAAACATGACTGGGTGTGTCCGTAAGATCGCTCTACTGCTGGACACCTAACCAGGTTTCCTCTACATGTGTCGATTGCGTACTAAAGTCTAGATTGAATGTCGGAGAGATATTCGTTGATTTCTCGCTTGTCTTTTCAGATCTACAAAGGGTAGGAAATTGCCTTCAAACCCTAACGTTTCAAAACGAAGTAAATTCGACTCGATCCTCGTCTATCGAATTCGTTACGCGTACACTTGCCAACCGCTTGAACCTCAACTCGCAAAACGATTGCTGAAACCGCAGACTCCACGGTCCTGATGCCCACGGTGCTGTCTCTTCCAAATTGCTGAAAAAAGCAAAAGTCGTCACACGCATTGGTCGCGTTGATAAAAGAATGTGAAGAGAGTTAGTTGAACGACCGGCAGTGCGACGCCCGTTGGTCGACTTGGTCGTGGCACTGGCCTACGATCAACGGTTGGCCGGGCAACGACAAAGTTCGAAAAGTGATATCGACTCGATCCTCGTGTAACTCATTTGTCACTAGTGCCAGCCGAAGCGCAGAGTCAGATTGGCGACTCAGAGACCAGCTTTGCACGCGTAGCCTTCGTGCACAAGCTAAGTAAACGTTACTGGATGTGAATGCATTAGAAAACAGAAACATTATTAAGAAGCGAGAACAAGAGAAGAGCGATCAAGAATACACTAGATAGCGATTGGCATTGCATTTAAATTTTGAAGATCAAAAGGTGAGACGTAACCGTAAATCTTATGCTGACTGTTTCTTTTCTCGCCCTTCTCGCTTGTAGAACTTTTGTGATGTCAACGAACACTCGTTGCTACTTTTCTGATGTCAACGAATACTTGTTGTTACTTTCGTAAATGCTCGTTGTAGTAGAGACTTTGTAATCGTATATACAACAATAGTAACGCCGTTGAACAATACTGGTGTCAGTCGCCTTCGAACAGCTTTCGCACTAATAGTACTTGCTCGATAATACTCTCTCGAATAGTAATCCCTATAGTGATAGTAAATAGTGTAGAGAATAGCGCTCCGTATAGTAATATAGGATAGAGTAGAAATAGCGATCCGTATAGTAATAAAGGATAGACTAGAGATAATGATAATCAATTAGACGTCACGATACTAAATACTTGTGCATTTCTCCCATGGTCACGTAATCCACTTAATTCAATAATGGGATCACCTGTATTTGCTCACTGGCGATCTATGTTCTAACTCAAGTGTCGGCTGTGATACTTTATTCCTATATATCAAGAACATTCTTCCGGCTCCATAGCCTAGAACAGAGAATCCATTGCTAGCAATGAAAGAATTTAAATTGGTTTCAAATAGGGGTAAAGCAATCTGGAGAACATCTCAAGAAAAAAAAAAGACTCTCCACTGCCGAAATTGGGACGAATACTACAAAAATTGGAGAAAGATAAATTGAAATAGGTAGGTGATTTTTTTCTTCTTCTTTAGTATTTCCTTTCACTGTATTTGTTACAAGAAGATTTGTCTTGTGGAGAAATATTAAAGCCTAACATAACTATCATTATCTATCATCAATGAAAAGACAAACTAGTGTCGGGGAGTTATAATTCTGAGTAAATAATTATAAATACCCTAAGAATATATATGGAAAAATACTCATAAAAAGGAGAAAAAGCAAGACGTGGAAACACCAAAACGAGTAGTATTTATTATGTGGTGTTGTAGAAACGAGAGGCAGTAATACTGAGTAAAAGTTTGAGTTTGGGGTCAAATGTAGATCAAATATGGATCGCAATTCAACTGATAATATATATATATATATATATATATATATATATATATAAAGAAAGAAAGAACAGTATGATATATAATCCAGTGATTTATAGATATTTTTATTTTTAAAAAATAGTGCTCAATGTAAATTTACAGAGCATTAATATTATAAATTAACTGATTTAAAATGTGTTTTTTTTTAAATATGTTTTTTTTTTTTTTTAAATCGCTTGAGGATGAAATGGAACTAATGTCTTTAATTTAATTCCTAAATTAAATTCGAAGCTTTTAGCTTCCATTTTTGAAACATGGTTAGAACTGTGTAGCGAAAAAAAACATGTTTTAAATCAGTTAATTTATAATATATATATATATATATATATATATATATATATATATATATATATAGAGAGAGAGAGAGAGAGATGGGGAGAGAGATGTGTGTAATGAGTATCCGGATAATTACAAGTGCCTGGGTTTCTTACCTTGAATTTTTGTTGAGTACTAAAAGATAAGTGTTATTTTTATGGCTTGAATAGGAAAAGGAGATGAAATTTTCGTTGACGCACGTGTTAACGATTTGTCCTTGTAAACTGCTTGTCAGATAGTGAAAATGTCACGTGTTTGTGTGTGTAGAGGTGAAATGTGGGGTCGATTCTCACTGAGTGAATTAATGATAATTATAAGAGTTATAATTATTTTATTATAATTATTTTTGACGCTATAATTATTTATTTATGGGCACGACACTGGAGAGAATGTGACTGGGACTAAAGCGTAATGTGGCCTCAGGGTTGCCCAAGGGAAATACATGCAGGAGTATATACCCATGATTGACATGACATTACAATTACCCCTATATTATGTTCATCGGAGCAGCCTCTCTCTCAGCCAAACATGACTGGGTGTGGCCGTAAGATCGCTCTACTGCTGGACACCTGACCAGGTTTCCTCTACATGTGTCGATTGCTCACTAATGTCTAGATTGAAAGTCAGAGAGATATTCGTTGATTTCTAGCTTGTCTTTTCAGATCGACAAAGGGTAGGAAATTGTGGAGAACCATGATCATAAACGTTCTGTAGGGGCATATCATATAGAAGAATAGGTTTATCTTTCTCAGTACGTTCTTTGCCACCTCTTTTAAGATGTCTTGCATACTACGTATTTCTAAGAAGAAAGACAAGGTCGAATAAAAACACCGTCTTTCCTCTTTTCTTTCACTTGATTTCTGCTTCTTTTTCAAATTTTTTTCTTTCATGGTTGTTTTCTTCATTGCTTTTTGCAAATCTTTCTTTCTTTCTTTCTTTTCGCTTAATTTTCTTTCCGCTTTCCCTTCCTTTAGTCTTTCCTTCTTACTTTCTTTTCGCTTAATTTTCTTTGCGCTTTCCCTCCATTTATTCTTTCTTTCTTTATTTCTTTATTTCTTTCTTTCTTTCTTTCGTTTTATTTTCTTTTCACTTCCCTCTATTTATTTTTTCTTTCTTTCTTTCTTCCATTTTTTTCTTTTTTCGTTTTATTTTCTTTGTTCTTTCCTTCCATTTAATCTTTCTTTCTTTCCTTCTTTTCGCTTATTTTCTTTGCGCTTTCTCTTCGCTTAGCCTTTCTTTCTTTCTTTCTTTCTTTCTTTCTATCTATCTATCTATCTATCTATCTATCTATCTATCTATCTATCTATCTTTGTTTCTTTGTTTCTTTGTTTCTTTCTTTGTTTGTTTCTTTCTTTCGTTTTATTTTATTTTCACTTCCCTCTATTTATTCTTTCTTTCTTTCTTCCATTTTTTTCGTTTTTCTTTTTCGTTTTATTTTTTTTTGTTCTTTCCTTCCATTTAACCTTTCTTTCCTTCCTTCTTTTCGCTTATTTTCTTTGCGCTTTCTCTTCGCTTAGCCTTTCTTTCATTCTTTCTTTCTTTCTATCTTTCTTTCTTTCCTTCTTTCTTTCTTTCTTTCTTTTCCCTTTATTTTCTTAGTGCTTTCCTTCCATTTATTCTTTATTTCTTTCTTTCTTTCTTTTCATGTTATTTACTTTGGGTTTTCGTTTCCTTCATTCTTTCTTTCTTTTCTTCTTTCTTTCATTTTATTTTCTTTTCTTTCCGCTTTCGCTCCATTTATACTTTCTTTCTTTTTTGCGTATTATTTTCTTTATGCTTTCCTTCCATTTATTCTTACTTTCTTTCTTTGAATTACGTTTCCGATCAAAGGTGTTTTTGTTTTTGTTGTTATATTTTAGTTTTGGCCAAAGACCACAAGCATTGGGCACCCAGTGAGAGCAGAACGTATGACTAATGATCTATTAGTCAGGTGTACCAACCACTGCACACGATTAAGCGACTGCTAGTGTTAATATACAAACAAAGAAAAATGTAAAAATGAAAGAAAAAAGGACGGAGAAAAAAGAAAGTCCGGGAGAAAAAGAGAGCAAAGGAAATAAGAAAAGTCAAAAGACGGTAAATCGAAGAAAAGGCGGGAAACAAAATAATATGGGTTAGTAGAAAGAAAGAAAGAAAGAAAGAAAGAAAGAAAGAAAGAAAGAAAGAAAGAAAGGGTAAATGAAGGAAAAACACAAAGAAAAAAGCGAAAAGAAAGAAAAATGAATGAATGGATGAGTAAGAACAAAAGGGTAAAAAGAAAGAATAAAGGGTAATCGTAAAAAATGAAATAAAAAAAGAAAGAAAGAAAGAAAGAAAGAAAGAAAGAAAGAAAGAAAGAAAGAATAATAAATGGAGGGAAGCGCAAAGAAAATAAAACGAAAAGAAAGAAAGAAAGAAAGAAAGAAAGAAAGAAAGAAAGAAAGAAAGAAAGAAAGAATAATAAATGGAGGGAAGCGCAAAGAAAATAAAACGAAAAGAAATAAATAAATAAATAAAGAAAGAAAGAAAGAAAGAAAGAAAGAAAGAATAATAAATGGAGGGAAGCGCAAAGAAAATAAAACGAAAAGAAAGAAAGAAAGAAAGAAAGAAAGAAAGAAAGAAAGAATAATAAATGGAGGGAAGCGCAAAGAAAATAAAACGAAAAGAAAGAAAGAAAGAAATAAATAAATAAAGAAAGAAAGAAAGAAAGAATAATAAATGGAGGGAAGCGCAAAGAAAATAAAACGAAAAGAAAGAAAGAAAGAAAGAAAGAAAGAAAGAAAGAAAGAAAGAAAGAAAAAACGAACGGTGGGAAAGAAAGAAGAAAAAAAGAAACAAAGAAAGAAAAGGAAAAATGAAAAAAGGAAATGAAAAACGCTAATAAAAAACGGAAGGTTGATGAAAGACAGCAAAACAAAATAAAATGGTCTGGAATATTCCTAAGAAAAAAGGAAGGAAAGAAAGAAAGACACAAAAAAAAAAAAAAACGTATACAAAACAGCCAGAATACAACAACGAAACTGCCAGATTGTGTTACAGTTGCCGATTTCTCACTTTTTTTAACCCATTAAGTCAAGCTTGTTGACCAACCTGAACAATTTGTGAGTGACCCACTGACGAAAAACATCGCTCAATATCCGTTATACCCATTAAGGACCGATCCGGTTACAAGACAGAGGGGTCAATGTAACAAGTTATACTAATTGATTTTAAAGACAAGGGACGTCACTTCAGTGGACGGGCCAAACAGCCATGTAAAAATTCACCGATGATAGATGAAGCTTTGTGGATAAATAACAAAGTCAGACCAGTAAGTGGGGCGAACTTGCTCTCCGGGGATATTTGAGATGCTTTTCAGGAAACCAGGGAACGGCCCGAATATTAAACTGACCCCCTGGGGAATCACGTAAACATTCTAACCGCTTGAAAGGATTGTCTCCTTTTTTTTTAATGTTTTGGAAGATAATAAATCTGTACGAGGAATTAGCTAAAGACTTAGAGAAAAAAAAAGAACGATAAGTGAAGTATTTAATTACTAAATCCGGAATCGTCTTAAAAAAAATGAATAAAAGCTCACTTCTCCATTCAGTATTGCCCCTCGAACGATAACCTTGGGTATTAAAGCTTTGGGGATTTTATGAGTTCGATCCCTGGGCTGGGTAGTGTGTAGTTGAACTCAGTGTAGATGGGAAGAACAATAACTGATCAATACAAAGAAATAAGAAGTCGACGAGATATCCGCACACATGGGCAATTGAACTAGAACAATCAAATTCTATAAATTACCCGAAGAAATCTTGTGATAACAACAACAAAGATGAGGATAATCGACGCGTGTATCTTCCCCACTGCCGTAACGTAGTCTTCCTCTGTCTTTTCTATAAATCCTTTCTTGGTAATTATTCTGATTAATTTAAACTATATTATTAAGACTCAAACATGCATGTCCACAAAATAAAATGTTTAAAGCAATATAAAATCAAAGATTATATATATATATATATATATATATATATATATATGTGTGTGTGTGTGTGTGTGTGTGTGTGTGTGTGTGTGTGTGTGTGTGTGTGTGTGTGTGTGTGTGTGTGTGTATAATGAAATCCACTAAGTCCGACAATTATTTTAATATATTTTATTGTTATACGTTATTTATATAGACACAAATATTTAAGTAAATGTTCTGTTTATAATAAACAGTATTAACAATATTTACCGGTCTGAATGTCCGAGAAATTTCATACAAAATATGTACATAGAAAGCGAACCTGTAATCTACATTGAACCATCATATAGCCTGACGTGCTATACCACTTTAGCTACGAAGGAAGCAGATATGAACATTCAGTGGAATTCATGGGAAGGCTGTAGTTTAAAAGCAGTAATTCGACCTTGCTAAACAGAGGCTTACTTCGTAGCTAAACTGGCATAGCACGTCAGGCTATATGACGGTTACGTGTAGGATACTTCTTCGATTCCTCTCGGGGGACGCAAATTTTCTATAAAATTTGTCGGACATTCAAATGTAAATGCTGTTAATACCGTTTTTTATAGACAGAGCATTTACTTAAATATTTGTGTCTAAATAAATAATGTATAACAATTATATATATATATATATATATATATATATGTATGTGTGTGTGTGTGTTATTGTTATACATTATTTGTATATACAGTGTAACCCGGATATAAGAGAAACCCGGATATAAGAGAGATTTTCTCTTGTCCCAAATTAGAGCCCATACTTACCTAAACAAAAAAGACCAAACCCGGATATAAGAGAAACCCGGATATAAGATACTTCTTCTCCGGTCCCGACAACTCTCTTATATCCGGGTTACACTGTATACCGAATGTAACAGCAAAATTGTCCTAATGCTGTAACAGCACCCTTTTTCATCTCACAAAATATTTAATGTCTAAAAATCACTTGGATATTAGACTTGGATATTAAAGCCTTGTTGATTTTATGAGTTCGATCTCTGGGCTGGGTAGTGTGTAGTTGAACTCAGTGTAGATCGGAAGAACAATAACTGATCAGTACAAAGAAATAAGAAGTCAACGAGATATCCGCAGAAACAGAGAATTAACCTAGAACAATCAAATCCTATAAAAGAATGTATATTTACTCTCCAAGCTTAACAGAAGAATCGTGATGAAATCGATAAAAATATGGCATAAGGCCGAAAATACGAACACACTATTCAGTCGTAAATGATCTAGCGAGTAATGTTTGTTAACCATTTCACCGCGTCGAAGTGCGCATTGGTTTTCTAAGATTAGCTTAGATGCGGCATAAGGCTGAAGATCGAACTCACTATTCAGTCATAACAAGCTTGATAACCATTACACTACGTCGAAGTGCTCTCACCAACATTAAGGTGAGAGAAATATATGTAAAACATTAGTAACTATTGCCAATATTTTATCTTTTTATAAAAACTTCGAGATAATATTAGTACATTTTTTTATTTATTTTAGTTGGCTTTTGTAAAGACCTAAAAAAGATCGGTAATCAGTGGAACGTCGTAAAAATAGTGAAGATCTGGATCTAACAAAATATTTTTTTCTGCGATTTTTCTAATAGACATTGCGAAATCTTATCGGATATATCACATTTGTTTCTATTTGTTTTCTTTTGCTTCTTTCATTACTTTTTGTCGGCCATCTTATTTTTTTTCTTTTATTTACTTTCCCTGCTGGCTGCGTATTTTTTTCTTCTTCTCATTTTTTCTTTCATAACTACGTCATTCGTCGTTTTCTCTTAGACTCATATCTAAAACCAATGGTTCCCAAACTGTTTTTTCTCCGTGCCACATTTTCGGAATAAAATTTGCTTGCACATCACCAAATTTTATGTGAGTAAAAGTACACTTAAAAATAAACAAACGGTGAAAAGTTTAAAGGGAGATAACCGCAGTTTCGATGTCAGAACATTATTATTGATAACTCTTTCCTTCAATTTGCAGACTCTAGTTAGTATATACTTAACACTTGATATAATGCAAACATATCACAATGATAAAATCGGTTAATAATTATTTGTAACTATTTATACTGGGACTCGTGCATATAATTACAAGTAATCAATAATAAGATTTTAAAATATTTAAATTTTGAAATCATATTCATTTTAGGAGTATGAATTTTTTTGAAACTGTTTCTGAATCTTTGTCATTCAATCATTCCGGCTCACCTGCTATCCTCTTTGGGAACCACTGTCTTAAACCATCACGCATTTCTTCTTTTATTTGTTTTATTTGTTATTTTTTTTTAAATCATTCAAACTCTAAGCAAGGCAATAAAGCCACTAAGACATAAGGGATTACTGAGTGTTCGAGAATATGAGACAAAATATCCCAGTCAAGGAGAAAGAACAATAAAAAAACAGGAATTAAGAAGACACAGAGATTGATATTGCATTTAAATTTTGGAAGATCAAAGTTGACTGGAAAGCAAGAAATCTGAAGAGAGATCTACAAGCGAAAAAATTATAGAAGGAAATATTAGCATAGAACTTACGGTTGCATCATGCCATTTCAACTATAATATAATGAGACCTTACCGCCAATCTAGTCTGCCAGTTAAATGCCATACTTGATACACGCTTGAGCGATCATGTCTCTCTCGATTCATGACTGAGTTCTTTATGCTTCATGTCCCCTTAGGATGTAGCTGATTATAGCTCTCCACAATTTCCTGTCTTTTGTAGATCATAATAAATGTTGTCTCAAGGAAACATGGCCCAGTTCTGGCGTTGATTAGATCCAGTGACTAGACCCAAGGAGTTGCGAATTTAGTACCTAGCTACAGCAGTTGTGAACTAAAACATGGAGATCTGAGTTAAAGGGAAATAACTGAAACCTCCGGAAGAGACATGACACGTGGAACAATCTACTCCGGTAGACGAAATAAATGGTTCGGTTCAAGATTCCAAACACCTGAAATGTAAATAATGTACGTAACCATGATACCTCATCTCAGAGATACAGACAGAAATGTTGTCTTTTTGTTATTTTCCTAAACCCTGTTCCGCCATCAATCTACTGAAGCTCTCGAAGTATATTGTGCGTTTTTTCCTCTGTCCTTCTTGCCCTCAATCTGTCCTGTGAATATCATATTTTTCAAATCATCCTTTCTCATTATGTGCCTCAGAAATTTCAACTAGTCAGAAGAAAATCCCGCAGTAGGCGGCCGTTTATTTCTGCGATAGATTCTTTGCCAACCAAGGGTATAGGACAAAGTCTATCCTGCTATTCAAACGATATCTCGGAGGAGAAGCGATGGGCTTGTATCTTTCTGTGGGCCAATTTGCGCTTAATTGAATGTAACGAACCCGACTAGAATTCGAACTCCACTGTCCAATTTCTTATACCGAGCTCTTATTAATTACACCCCATGGCACACCCCTTGTCTATTACGGCGCTTAAATTCATAAATTCTAGGTATCACTGGGAAAAGTTCCTCACAACAATTACGATAAAAGTTTTTCTAGAAAAGTCACAGGGAAAATTTAGATGAGAAACGGAGTGTCGTACACATAAAAAAATAAATAAAAATTAATTGTAGCGGCAAAATAATTATGATAAAATAATTATAACAATTATAATTATCATTAATTCACTCATTCTAAATGAAAGCCAACCCCATTTTCTCCTCTACACACACGAACATGTGACATCCTCACTATTAGGTAGGCAATCAACACGTTGGTCAACGAAAATTTCGGCTCCTTTCCTTTTTCAGGCCATAATGGTAATATTTTCCCCTTAATACTCTACAAAAATTCGATCTAAGAAGTTTTTTTTCTAAGATCGAATAGACAGAGACTTCATTTATCTTCCCACTAAATTATCTCGATATTCATCAAACATATTTAGGACACCTCGACGTGGTGTAATGGTTAGAAAGCTAGTCTTGCTAGATCAGTCACGACGGAGTAGTGTGTTCGATTCTCACTGAGTGCCTCATATTTTCGGCCTTGTGCCACATCTAACCTGCGCCTTGAAATCACTTTTGGCACTTTGACGAGGTGTAATGGTTAGCAAGCTTGCTTCACTACATCTATGACGAATGAATAGTGAGTTCGATCCTCAGTTGATGCTCCACACTCTTGGCCATGTGCCACATCTAAACTAATCTTAGAAAATCATTTTGACGCAATTTTGTAATTTTACAAAATAAATGTTCTCATTAAAATACATCTATAAAAAAAATGCGAAAAAGAGTGTACACAATTTGCTCATCCTTTGCCTTATCATTCTGTTGGATTCCGATCAAGATTGGATCTACATTTGATCCTAAACTCAGAGTTTTACTTAGGAATACTATTTCCTTTGTCACCAACATCAGATAGCATACAAATAATAAATAATACAAGCTTTCTTGTTTCCACGTTTTGATGTT